GAGTGTCTATGGAAAGACAGCTCGATCACGAGCAGCAACGGTATGATCGTGTCATTGAGCTGGCCCCAGCAAAAGAAACTGTAAGTGTGAACAAATTTGCGTGGCAGACAGTTTGTGAATCATTCAGACTATTAATTGGTCTATCAACTAAGTTGATGATGTGAATTAGCCACAGTAAAGAGTTTAAAAGCTGACGTTTCGAGCGTTAGCCGTTCGTCAGAGCGAACGGCGAAGGGCTAACGCTCGAAGCGTCCTCTTTGCAATCGACGGATTGATTCTGGAACAGTGGAGAACCTGAGTAACTCATAAGTGGTCATCGCTATAGACGTAAGCTACTATGTGTCATTTTTTCTAGCTGGAAAAGCTGGAAAACAATCAAATTCCTGTGGTCAAATCCGAACTGGAAGAGATGGAAAGCGAGATACAAAGAATTAAAGATGAGATAACAGAGGTAAATCGTAAAATGTTGAATTTTGCAGCGAAAGTTTAATTTGACACATTAGTCTTTGAAATCAGCTTTCTTTTTTTTTTGCAATGTAAGGCTTCATGCTTCACTTTGCTCTGTTGTTGTTTATTTGTTTATTTGTAGTTCTTATTGTTTGCGTGGGACACTGGTTTCCCATCGTAGGCGTGGGACACTGGTTTCCCATCGTAGCCTGCCTTATCCATTCGAACAATGATCCAAAGCTTTTCCATAAATCTCTCTGTTTTGTCTTCCTCTCTTTAGCTTGAAGATGTTCAGAGTGTGACCGAAAGTGAGGCGCAGAGTGCTCGAGATATGGAACCAGACATTCGTATGTTGGACAAATACAAGTCAGAGTTGAAGGAAATGGACAAGAATATATCTTTGCTGCAGTCTAAACTCCGTGGAGTCGGTTAGATTCTTTGTTCCCAACTAGATAAAGAACAATTGTTTTGCTCAGAATGTAAAATTTCTAAATCATTTGGGGTTAGTTGATTCGCTCCAAGTCAGTTGTTAAAAGCAGAAGGGGGCTGTATCTATGGCTTTGTTTCGTTGGTTTGGCTTTTTTTGTTATTATTTATTTATTTTCATTTATTTTTCTTCTTTTAGCTCCGGGTAGAACCATGCAGTCAGTTTCTAATGAACTCACCGACAGACAAGATCGCTCGTGAGTAACGATAATAGCAAAAAAAAAGTTTCAATTTGCTTTCGACATTCTTTACATAAGCAGTATGTACAGTAAGACGGTTGTCACATTTGATTCAAGTAATGATCTAGTATTACACTATGGAGTTTTCTGTCACCCAGTGGTTTGGCATTGGAGCGAACTATCCGAAGGTCTGGGGCTCGAGTCCTCTCACTCGAAAACTCAATTTTCTTCTTTTAGTTCGTTTTCGTGCTCAGAATTTACCATCTCTCTTATTCTATCTAGTAAACAAAAATGTTTCCATGGCTGAAGGGGATTCCACCTCGGTTTAAGGTTGGCTCTGAGGTCTCCCCTTACAGCAGTTTTGCGCTCAAAGATATTTTATTTCACATTTGACTAGCCCAACTTATTTTTGGTAAAAGGTGAGTTTGATTTTGATTTCGAATAGTCCGCTTTTCAGTTAATTTCCTATGTTCTCCGGGAGGAAATCTTTTAATTACGGTTGTTCTTTATATTTATGTTAGTCAACAATTTTTGCTGATTGATCGTTTCATTTTTTTTTTTTATCGTTATTATTTCGTAGTGACACTCTCAATAACCATATTGATCGTAAAAGAACTCAGCTGAGCCAACTGCAGCGGCAGCTCAGTGACCTGAAAACTAATGTGCATGAGCTCAAGTCACAAAAGGTAACTTTGCTCGAAAAGGGTTTTGCCTCGAAGAGTATTCCTGCCTGTCTACTTCATCCAATCTAATCTATCTCTTTCTTTCATCTGAATTTCCATAGCTCCGTTTGAAAGCTCAGTTGCAGACGAGAACACACTTAGAACAACAAAAAGCTGAACTCACCGCAAACAATAGTGCCTTTGCGAGGGAAATAGAGGTAAGTAGAAAAATTTAAGAAATGCGCACATGCGGATAGAAGGCAATTGAAATCAGCGTTAGTTGCTTATCGCTCAACATGTTAATCCTTCCATGTGCACAATCCTTTGGAATAATACGATAATGCTATTCAATCGTAGTAATAAGTATGGTCATGAATCTATTAAGCGCTTTTCAATCGAGATTCGTAAATGCAAAACTGATTTGATCGCAACAGCCAATCAGAACAAACGTTAATATCACCTGGAACGAAAGAGAACTTCAAGCAAGTAGTTATTAAATGATGTAAGCGTTCGGTGGAGAACGCCGATAACCAAGTTTCGATTGATTCTAATTTTCCTTGAGATTGGTAATGGTGTGCAAGTTTTCTAGATCAATGACATTGCACAATGAAGCAAAACCAGTGCCATTCTTGATTACTTTCAATTCTCACTTGAGTTACACATTGAAATAGGACGAAATTTAGGAAACTCAATCTTTCCTCTCCTATTTTAATGTCGTTTCACAGGAGGCCCAGGCAGATATAGCCCCTATCGCGGTAAGTAGAATTGCTTTGTTTTTAGAATTTTCATTTACGGCTCTTTCACATTTTTAATGAGTATAAATCAAACCAAAATTCTCAGACTTTTCGCTTATTTGTTTAGGAAAAACTTGAAGAACTGCAGGAAGAAAAACAACGAGTTGTGGGTGAGAAGGAAGCTTCAGATGACGAAAATCGCAAAAAGGTAAATTTAAAGTTTCTGTTCGTATGAAAAAAAAATAAGTACGTGTAGGTCCCTCATACGAGAAGGAGAAACACAGTTACTGAACCTTTTGTCGACGTCAGGGGTGGGGGGGAGGGGAGGGGAGTGGAAAGAGGTGAAGTGGCATGGAGTATTTTCGCTTCTTTGAATAGAATGCCAATCGAACACTGTTTCAACAGCCCACATCATTACGTCAGGTTTCGCTGACAGTTCATTGGAACCCATTTATACTCCTGAGTATAAAGAGCCATTGTGGGAATGTGTCTTACCCAAGAAAACGAGAAAATGACCGCGACTCAACTCAACCCAGACCTCTCGACCCAGAGTTTAGCGACCTAATCATTATGCCTACCAATCCTCTACTTGATTCGTGAAGCAAATGATATTTTATACGATTGCGACGGGGGAAATTGCTTTGATGTGTTATTACTTAATCAAAAATATTTAGTCTAAAAGATGTCATTTACGTTGCTATCATTTTCAAAATGTAAAGACGGCCAAATGGACAAACGATTAACGACAGAAGTAACGTTCGTCACCTTTCTCTCTCGCAAGAGAGAACACCTTGCTTAAGCACGAAAGATGTTCGGAAATTAAATTTATTTAATTTAATATCTTGGTTGCAGCTCCAAGAAATAAGAACGAGAGGAGACAAAGTGCGGGAGAAAACTGCAGAAATAAAAAGGTTAGAAATCACATTCGTGAGCATGGTATGTCTCCAAAACTACAGAAATGATAACAAAAAGCTAGTCTTGAATAGTCAGACAGGCTCCACGGCAGCACTTTGGTCATCAGTTATGTATATTCTACCCCTCCCGTTTTATTTGTTGTAATGGAGTTTCGCACTTTTATTGCAATTGCTGTTTTTAGTGTTGGTAAGCCTTGATTAATCTCATTTGATGATGACGACGCCATGTCATCATCGAAACGGGATATTTTTTGTCGCTTATTGTATTCGTAAATGTAAAGAGGCTTGGGTTTGCTAAGAACTGGGGAATTTGTGTGTGTGTGTGTATTGGGGGTGGGAGGGGGTCGGGCGGGGAGACGAAAGTGTTATTCTTCGGAACTGCTTTTTAGAAATGTTCCCATCGGTAATGATGGTGCGTCCTCTACTTGACTCCGATCTCTTTTCGTCTTGACAACAATTACGAAGACTAACAGCACTAAACCAAACGCATAGCTTCTCATCAGGAACGTTGCAGCAAACCTGGCCCAAATAGAGTCCTTCCTGAGTTGCAATCCTTTTATGGCGCCGAAATCGCCCGCAGACACGCAGATCACCAGCGTTAAAGACACAGCGGTCACCACAGATGAAACAAATGCTAGGAATACTTTGTTCTCAAGTGTTCTGTTTTTAGGAGAGTTGTCTATTCCTCTCGAAGATCTTAGATTGCGCCAAATTCTATATCCAGCCACCGCGTAACCACCGCAAATAAGTGCTCCCCCCCCCCCATGTACAGAGGACCAGATCTGAGGTAAAGGGCCAAAGCTCCTTATCTGCGAACAGCACCAGCAAATTGAACGTAGCAATAGTTACTGTGAAGACAGCCGTGATACCTAGTAACACCCAAATATTTTTAAGGCGCGGCGACACGATCGAAACCTTTGTTGTTTCAAGTAAAACCAGGAGAAGTATGCTGTAGGCCGATAGATTCAAGGACTGTGAAAAGCTGAACAACATTAGTCCTTTAACATAACGCTTCGCGCCTTGGAAATTTCTCTTACCGAGAAGGGACATCATAACAGTTGCGTTGTCGTAAAACGCCTGTAAACGCTCTTGTTAACAGATCTTGACCTTTGGCGAAGAAAAGCAGTAAAACAGTTTCCTGCGAAAATGATATACAATGTAGCGAACAAAAAGATATAGAATTTCCATGACCAGTGATTTAGAAGTTCGTCGACGCTCGTAGATGACGTAGGATTTGGCGTTGAAGCTAAGTGTGGTGTTTCTTGTGTCTAGGTTTGGTGTCTTTCATTTCTTTGCTATTGTTCAATGACTAATTTATTTAGTTGTAGTTGCGCCTAGATAATGGTGCAAAGCTGTTCAGTTGCGCGTTTTTTGTCTGAAATATATTGACATTTTGGAGGCAAATGTCATTAGATGCAAACATGTATTATGACAGCCTTTCCTTCGATTTTAAACCAAGGCTTTTTATACTTAACGATCAGGAATGCTCAAAATGAATGATGAAAGCAAAATTCAAAATGATAATTACTATGCACGTATTCAAATGGTTATTGCTTTTATTGAGTAGTTTGTGTTTATTTGTTCTTTTCTGTTTTTCCAGATTAACGAGTGTTCAAAATCGACTTTAATTATATCGTCGGTATTCCAATTTCTAACAAGTTCAAACAAACTTCAGACGAGGAAGACTTCGACAATAGAATTTAGAGCACATAAACTGTTAGCTAACACTAAAAGGTGAAACGTAGCAGGAGAAGTTACTTAATTTTCGATTTAGGGTTTTATAAGTTGTTTCCTAATTCCTTGTAGGGCTGGACCTTTTTAGTATCTTGCGCAGCAACCGCACGAGTAAAACTAACGTTTGCTTTTTGACGCGAGTTCGAAAGAGGTGCGTTTTCCCTCTTCCCATCATGTCCCAGCAAATTTGCGTTCTAGATTTGTCACTGAGTGTCCGTCACGCAGGTTTTGTAGTTGCTCCTTCCTGCAGAATTTTCAATTGCTCGTAGTGGCTTTTTCAACCGACTCGCTTTTTTTTTTTTTTCGCTATCTAATCGCTATTATAGTTAATTTCTTTAATCGTAACAGAAGTGGTGTCGGAAAGTAAGGACGTCCCACAGGGATCCCATTTCTTGTGTTACTTTCGTGTGGTGATTTTACTTCCACATTCGATGTCATCGATTTGGTTCTCTGTCTTTGGTTCTTCATCAGTAAATGTCCCTAACTGCACTGTTGGAGCATTATCAACTGAACCTTGTCCAGTCTTAGTTCTTACGACAACTCCGAATATCAGAAGCACAATCGTAAACTCGCAGCTCTGGAGCAAGAATGTTATCGTGTATCTCTCCCAGATGCTCTTTTCGTCGACCTCCGTTGATGACATTATTTCGTAAAAGCTGGCAGCGAGGCAGACGTCGAGAATTAGCATTGCTGCAGTGATCCACGGCGCTACGAATACAAGAAAGGTTATGTTTCTTAGCTTTCGGTCTCCCAAAGATGTTCCGAGCTGTCGCGATGACTTCAGGTTTCGCCACATCCTGTGTCCTGCTATAAGGTAACCAACACAGATGAATATTCCCCAGCTAAGAATTGCCACATAGGATACGAGGTACCAAAATTCTCTGCCGTACAACACCAGCAAGTTCAATGTGAGCATAATTACAGTCATAGCCACTGTGATCCCGAGCAACATCCAAATGTTTTGGAGCCTCGGTGGAGCTAATGATATTTTGGTTGATTCCAGCAGTATGAGAAGAAGAATGCTGAAAGCAGACAGAATCAGTGCTACCGAGACACAATCTACTAGCAGTGTTACTAACACTGTTACAATTGGCGCGCCGTCTAGCAGAAGCGGGGACCAAAATAGCGCGAATTCTTTCAAAGCCGCTGCTACAAACAGTTGGACAGTTGTAAAGCGACCGTGGATGTTTCGACTGCTTGATGGCTGCTTGCATTGTCGAACAATGAAAACAAAACAGGAAATCGAGAAAATACCAAACGCAACCCCAAAGAAGTAAGAGAAGAACTTAAAGGCCCAGTGATCCACGATGTACCTGTCTTCCGATGGACCTGTTGCCGTGTCAGTGAGATCTGTGATCGAGTCGAACGCGGAGTTCTCGTTGTGCGGCATGGTATATTACATTGCGCTCAAGTTTAACAATCGTTAACCACAAGCATTTTACAATGGAAGCCGTTTTAGCATGTGTTAAGTTGTTTTGCATGCGAATGTTTCGATTCTTTTGTCTTAACACCTTAATTGAGTTTTATTTTTTTTTTTTTCCGTTTTAATGGGCCCAACTGGAATATTAAATTTTCTTTGCGTCAACGGTAAATACAGATGGTATAGCAATATTCCCTTGTCCTTTTGTTTTACAGCAATTACACTCTTTTTCCAACATCAATCAAACCGACTCTGATTACTTAAGAGGGGCTCACTTCGATCCAATTTGCTCTTCTTTTGTCAAGGAATATTTAGGTCTGTGGTCGTTGTAATGTTAATGAAGCGTTGTAATACGTTATCGTCAGTTTGGCAAAAAGTGACATTGAAGCCAAAATGAAACCGCAGCATTTGAAATTTGGCTCGGAAAGCTTTTTCTGAGTACGAATGGATAACAGATGCATATTTATTTAATTTTTTTTTTCGCTCAGAAGTGACAAGTAAAATATTTGCCATATTGTGGCAGAAGATGCTTCTTGTCAATTTGTTTAATAACGGAACTAACATTGTCAGTGACAGAAGTTTAGCTTGGATTCACGTAATTAACTTCACTTCTGAACCATGTTGACTTTTCAGCAGTCATTAATTACCTTATGGTTTTCTTTTATTTCAAACGTTACTGTTTGGTTCGATTCTTAGGACGTTATCTTAGTAGAATATGCAAATTTTCTCAAAGCTCTTGAAAAGGGAGAAATCTTCGAGTATGATCAGCTTGAGAGAAGTTCACGATTGGAGTTTTTTTTTTTTTACTAAAATCAACAAATAGTAGGGAAAAAATATTTTGCAGAAGCAAAAATGTTTATTTTACGTTACGAGAGACTGATGAAGGCAGAGAGATCTATTTGAAATATTTTCCAAGAAAAACCAACTGACCCCGTTCCTGTCGTGTAATTAAACATTTTCCAGTTTTCCCGATGCGACACCATCTTTTGCAGAATACCTCAGTCGCTGTAATGAAATTGTGCTCTGAATCGTTTTACACGAAACTCGGCTGGTTTGAAATCGTTTATCAAGTAGAAATGGCATAAAAAGACTCCAAGTATTGCACCGTAGCTTAAACTTAAACCAGCTGATTGTAACCCGTCTTTCAGCCTAGCTTCAAGCTGTGCTCTCCGTTCCCTGTTTTTTTTCTCTCTGTTAGGGTCGTGTGCACCAGCCATGATACCTTTCTTAAGCACTGCGCTCGCACGTTTACTGATCCCTGCGTCAAGTCTCTATAACAGTAGTCTTAGTCTGTACCGACCTCTATCATTATTAGAGAAACCTTAGTGTCAAGACTCCAACGTTATGTGGTGTATTGAGCTTTAAGTGTCTTTTTTTCAAAGGTTTGTGAGCGATGGAGGCCCAATGGCCTTACAGGAAAACGAGGCTCGTTTACAAGAAGTGGAAGGTAGAGCAGAAAAACTGAAATCGGAGAAAGATGCTGTGTCTGGTGAAATTGATAAACTGAAGAACGACATCTCTAAGCAACAGGTTAGTCCTTGGAATGTTTGAGTGAAAAATATAGATATCGTTCGGTTGAATTTTTGAATTTTTCTATTTGCTTCGGCCCTCGGCTTTGGTCATTGATTGATTATCTGTTTATCACCTTAATTTAATTAAAGGATTTGGTCGTTCATTACCCATTTCTTTTTTGGATATTTCTGTTTTTTGATAAAAAATGGCTAAGCTCACTGATTTAACAACTTTTGCACTTAACGAAGAAGTAATACTTGTATTAGATTCTTTAAGGGACTCAAAGGAGATAGGTTAGACCCAGAGATAGAGCAATTTTATCCTTTTTTTTTTGCAGATACGGGCCCGTGAACTTAAAGACAATATTCAGTTGAAGAGTACTCAGGTAGAAATTCAAAATATCGAGAAGAAAATGGCAGACGTGTACAAAGAACTGCGTAAGTTTGGTGACCACCAGGACCTTGTTAGGTAAGAGACGAGAAAAGCTGCTTAAAGTTCGTTTTGTTTTTTCCTGTCAGAAATGCTAAGCTTCTTGTAGGCGTCAAGAAACCTCTTGAGTGCTTCAGTGCTCCAGGGCAGGAGTTACGAGAGGAGTCACTAGGAAATATCGAGTCTTCCTTTCCGCGTGTAACCACCTCGCAAGACACGTTTGAACACTTGTCATCACACCTCAGTTGCGCGGAGTACTCTGTGGTTACCATGTTGAAGGCAGGCTGAAATTGTCTTTCTTTCCCTGAACGATCTTTAGGTATTCGACAACGGCAATTGTGTAATTACTATTAATAAGACGAAACAAACGACAAGGGGAATGTTTTCAGTTCAGTAGACAAAAAGTTTCTGGAAAGAGGTTTGAATGATTTATCGTGACACTGTCTTGACCATTTACTTCTCACTTTCAATCGCTTTGGGCCGTGTCGAGACATATGAAAATCTGAATTAATGGAATTGATTTGCACTATTTTAAAACTAGGGCTTTTTTCATTCAGTGAGAGGCAAGAATTGCAACAGCGCTCTGACAATCTAAGGAAAGAGGTAACTGGGCGCATCTAATTGTATACACCGAAGACCCAGTACTGGTTTGTCCTAGAGTATTTAACTTGATTATCCAGAACAAATCATATTGAAGAAGACTCTTAAGGTCAACAGAAATGGCTGTGCTGATGAAATATCTACTTTTAGTGCCAATTTTTGTCGTGCTTCTTACCACAGACATTTAGTTTAGCAAATTTTCGTTGACAGTTGCAAAGCAAAGAAAAAGCGTTCGTTGCATATTATGCTTACCCTCTCCCTACCCCCCTCCCAAGGGAAGTCGCAAGGGGAACTTGCTAGAGTAACGATATATTTTAAATTCTGAACTATTTTCCTGGATAGTAATCTTGTCAAGACGTCAACGCTTGTATCGAAATCTGGCAGTTCCGCTTTGGGACAAGACTTTTTTTACTTCACTTACACCTAGCATGGAAAATATGTCAAGGAAGACCCCTGGTGTAAATGCAGGTTTTTTAGATGGAAGCGATTCAAAAATAAATCGACAGCACTTTCAGTGTCTAAAGGAATTTAGGGAGCTATTCATTTCATATTCATATTCACAGAAGTTTTGTGATCAATTATCTCGTGACATACATGACCTGTTTTTAGAAAGCGCACCACGAGGGGCGACTTACGGGTTACGAGGATGACCTGGGAAGATGCCAAAAGGAGTTGCGCAGTGACATGTATAAAAATGCTGAGGAGAAACACAGACAACAAGTTATTGCTATGAAGGTGAATGATCTAGGCAGTACGTAATGATTCACCGCCATGATAAGTATAATAGTCTTCGAATGGTTAGTTTGGGAGTGGTACTTTCTTCTGCCAGTGTCTTTTGTATTTACCACGAAGGGGCCAAGTGCTATGTTTCAATTTTCAGTGCTTTGCACATTAGTGTATGAAACTCTCAGAATTCTATTCTCTCTTGTCTTGGCTAATATTAATGATTTTTAGTGTCTCCTAACCATATACAATGCTTCGTTCAAGCGTTCGCGTTCCACCTAAAGTCAAACGTCCCTTTGAGCGGGAAGTTTAAAAACTTACGACCAAGTGAGGTTGTCAAGCGCAGAATACAGGAAGGCGAACTTCAAATAATTTGACGGATATTTTGGGTTTCCTTCAGTTGAAAGTGATACTGATCACTTACTTTCATGACGCGTGTTTTAAAGCAACCATATGACTACTTCAGTAATTTTACCCTTGTTTCTTCCCGGTTAACCCTTTTCACGGCTTTGCAGACCACTGAAATGGCAAATGATGACCTTGGAAAGTACTATAAGGCTCTTGATAGGTAGGAATGACTAATTAATTTAAGATGTTGGTTATTCGCTCCCCTTTCTTGTGGGACATGGGTTCTAATCCGATCGCTGTACTTGCTTTTTCTATTCATTCTTTTGATTTTTAATTGAAAACATTTTACAATTTAAGATGTTAATTTTAACTTGTAAATTGTAGTTTGATTTATTCAAATACTAGTTATACTCATGCGTTCTGTTTTGCTGTGCTGTTCTTGTTCTTGTATTTCTTCTTGTTTTAGTTTGGTCTCAGTTGTTTTTTTTAGTCATTATCGACGAAACACTCGAGAAAGACAGTACGTTTACGATATATGAGTAGGTTTCTTTAGATTTCCTCAATGCCATCACCTTCCATGCCATGTATTCTCCAGCGAGAAGAAATTTAACGCAAATTCAAGCAGGTCGCATTCCTTAATTCAGTAGTGACAATCAGTTTTTTATGGGCTGGTGTATTTCAGGGCCATTATGCGTTATCACGGAATGAAAATGGCTGAGATCAACAAAATCATCAAAGAGTATTGGATCAACACATACAAAGGGAATGGTAAGAATACACTACTCGAACCCAGTCTCTAAAGCTTGCTATCACATTGTTTACTCTTGTGAATGGTTCTCTAGAGAGTTTTACAGGTTAAACAAGCGAGTCTCTCCGACACGGTTTTATTTCACTTCTACACCGGTTTCAATAAAAGCCGGTTACCAGCGGTCTACCGCCGCCTTGTAGACCTCTCACTGCTGTCTGTTGAGCTTGCGAGCAGGTTCTCTTGTTTAGTTTTCGCCTAACAGCACAGCCGCCTATTACACTATCGGCAGCCACTTATGGAAAAATACATAAGGGAGATTTAGCACCGCGTTTACGTGAAACAGAAAACGTCAGCTTACCCTCTCACGTTCCACGTAAAATATCGTGAACCTCACTACCTTAGCTACGGGTAAGCTCACGTCACTTCGAGTTTCGATGAAGCCGCCTCACAAGTCAACGTAATTACGTTAGTTCTTGCTGCTGTCTGATGACGAAAAGTGTGGCGTTTGAAGGATTTTAAACATGAAACTTCGTCTGCCCTTTGTATGACTTACAGGAAATACTTCTGGTGCAATTTTTCCAGTAACTAACTTCTACTCTGTGAAAGAAAGAGGGAAGAAAATCCTGCTTACAAGGCAAACGCGAAACAGCTTATTTTCACGTAGAAACGGCAAAGCGCAACCGTCAAACGTAAAGGCCGTGCGTGCTAAATCTCTCAATTGAAATATCG